TGGAAAAGGGCACTTAGCCGATTTCACTGCGGGGTAAGTCAGATGGGTTCTGAAGGGGGGTGCCTGGCGGAGTATCTAAGGGGCAGCTGGTGTGTCTGACTGGGAGCTGGCACTTTCTTCTCAGCAACGGGCCTTTGGCTTGCTCAGTATCTCCATCAGCAAAGCCACAGGAAGATGGGTGGCGATAGCCACCGTGGCCCCAGAGCACCAGCCGCTGCTTCGTACTGAACAGGGCAGGTGTCCTTTCCTTGTTCGGGGACCCCGGCCCCTCACCAGGGCCTGCCCGGCATCTGGACAGTCGGGGATGCACCGCAGGGCCGGGCCCCAGGCTCTAACCAGGGGCGTCCCCTCTATGTTCTCTGTTCCTTCATTTGGAGTGCTCCGGGGTCCGGGCCTGCCCGGCATCGGGGGTCGTGGGATCGCTGGCGGGGCCCCGGAAGGGACGGGCAGCGGAGAGCGCCCACCTCCCGCTCGTCCGCGAGGAGGCTGTCCTTCAGGGCGGCCATCTCCTCCTGAAAGGCCCTGAGCTGCTCCTCCTTGGCCGCCAGCATCCGGAGGTCGCCCTGGTGCTGCTTCTGCCACTGCAGCACCTGGCCGCTCATCTCCTCCAGCTTCCGGTCGAAGGCGCGCACCTGTCGGGGCGCAGAGTGAGGCGGGAGAGCCCTGGGGGGCCCGCGCGGCCGGGGACGCGGCCTCGGCTTCAGGAGGCTCTTCGGGGGTGTTGGGTTTCTAGTAGCCGGCAGAGGGCGCCCCTGCTCTGATCACCGCCGCCCGGGCCCGACGCTCCCCGAGCCCGGGAGTGAAGGGCGCCCGGTAGCCAAGGGGTTGGCCCGGCGCTACGGAGTTCTGGGAGCAAGAGGAGACCCTGGGGACCCAGAACAGAAAGGCAGCCTGAGCCCCTGGCTGCTGCCCACCTCTAGCTCACTCTGCTCATGGAAGCCCTGCAGTTTTTTCAATTCCACGTTGAGCCACTTCATCCTCTCCTCATAAACCACGATTTCACCTTCCAGCTGACCTTTCCTCTCTTGGGCCTGTGTCAAGCTTCGGTGCAGGCTCTTTGTCTCCGAGGTCAAATGATCAAGCTTCCATAAAGACAAAGGGCATGAGAGTGGCCGTCAGAGCCCTTTGGGCCCCTCAGCTGAGTCCTGAATGGAGAAGTGTCCCAGTCCCCTTGTCCTCCACCAGGAGCGGCACAGACACCCGATCACCTTGCCTAGCGTCCCTGAGCGGGGTGGGAAGTGACAGAGGTTAGCTTCTGCATCCTCTTTCCCCTCCCCATCTGCTCTCTTTCCAGTCTTATGAACTGATCAGTCAGGCATGATCAGCACAGGGACGGGGCATGTATTTCCCTGACAGTCCAGGTTTTGGGAAAACCTTGCTCCTGGGTCATGCACGGGCACAACGACTTAGATTTGGCCTTCATCTCTGTACCTCCCCCCAAGCAAGCCTCACGAAGAGGAAGCAGACCCGTCTCTGGAAGGGCATCCCAGCCCATCAAGGGGTTTGCACCTGGCTCTGGTGACAGCCGGTCATGCAGGGGATCAGCTCCTGCACCCCTCACGCTACTTGGACATCTTTGCCGGAAGCAAATGAGAGGGCGTGGCTCACCTTCTCCAGGGCTTGGGTCAGGTCATCTCGGCAGGCAGCTGACTTCCGGGACAGCTCCTCATAGGCTTCTTTACTGACCATGGTCTGGAGACATTGCTTCTCTTTCTGCAGACTCTTGTCCAGCTGAACCTGCAGACTCACTAAGGTCTCCTTCTGATGGGATATCTTTAGGGAGGAGGAACATCCCTGTCAAAGTTCATGGCTATAGAGGCATTCCCTGATCTACAGGACATGGACAAGAGCTGGGCCCTCTTCTCTCTGTATTGTCGCAGAGCAGTCTGTGATAATGCCCACGTGCTTACCTCACTGTTGTAAAAGGAAGGAAGCCTGCCTTTCCAAGCTCTTCTGCATCCCTCTCCCCACAGTCCCCTTTCTAGTTAGCATGTACCCCAGCTAAAAGGAGTACTGGAAGTACTGGGCCGTGTTGTATCAAGTACACCAACAGTCCCTTTCACAGGCTCTGCAGTGTTTGATAAAGATCTGGAATCCAAGTCTAGGTTAGGAGACATGATACAACATTTCCATCGTGGGTATTATACCTTACTTAGTTCTTGCCCTTATTCACTAGACTTGCTGCACCATGAAAGTGGACTGTGTGTGCTTTCTTCATTGCTGGGTCCCCGCCATCTACGGCACAGGGCATGGCACATAATAGGTGCTCAGTAAATATTAAATTCTTTTTTTCTGACAATGAAATATAGCACTGGGCATTGTTTGGAATTGGGAATGCATTGGACACATAGTTCTGGCAGAAGTGTGTTTGAAAACTGAAGCCTGTGTCTTAAACTTAGTGCATACACATCATGTAGTTAAAAGGAATTAAGATCTGGAGTTAGAGGATCTAGATAAAGTAATGACTGTTCTGTCATTTACTTAATCTCTGTGAGCCTCAGTTTCTCTTCTGCAAATTGAGATACTTTCAATTGTTTTACAGAGTTTTTGTGAAGATCAAATGAGATTATGCATGTAAAAAGGGCTTCAGGTATAATCACTGTATAGCTGTGAGTTATGATCATGAACATGCTAAGTGATTAGCCATCTTATTGTATACTCTAAGTATAGCACAGAGGTCTACTTCTAAGTCTGGAAGCATGAGGGAGACCTTAGAAATTCACAGGCCTGACTTCTTCTCTTTGGTATTTAGTACACCTGCATCCTCCAGGTGGATATACACACAGAAACACAATCTTTTGGGTTTTCTTTTGCCCAGTGCTTGAAGTTTATTACTTTTTCAGATGGAATTTTTAGTATCTTTGACCCTAGAAATTAGTGAGATGAGAAGTGTTAGATTGTACTTATGACCCTATGTTTACACGCTGTGGGAGTGAAACTGTTCCTAAAGCCAGGATAGTTTTGCCTTCTAGAAATAGAAGTGCATCTTTTCTGGGGACTTCTGAAAAACAAGGAGCCAACTGGGTCTGCCCAGTAACCCAGGGGAGTCACTGGAGAAATTACAATTGGCTGTAAACTCTTGATAATTGGTGGCCTGATAAATGTTATCTTAGAGGTGAAAGACTAAAAAGAAGAGTGGTGAAAAAAAAAATCACAGTGATGCTAGACGCTGAAATGGAAGCTTTATTTTAGATTTCTCTAACATGAGTGGTTTAGATTGGAGAAAGATACTAAAAACCTATATATCTATATATTCATATGTAAATTAAAGAATCGAGTAGTTTTAATAAAAGGTCTCATAAAGATCTACTCTTTCTCTTGCCAAAGGCATTAGGCATAGATGGCTTTATAGGTGAGTGCCACTGAGTCATCCTTGATCCCTTGCTTGCTCTCGTATTCATTCTATCAGTTAGTCTGGTCAGTTCTACTGCCAAAACACATCCTGTCTTTGCTAGCTTCTCCCTCCACTTACATTACTCTAGCTTGGATAGTAATAGCCTCCTAACTGGTTTCCTCACTTCCAAACCTACCCTTCTTCCCAATTCACTTCACATATTATTCAAAGTTATATTTTGAAAAACTTAAATGAGAACAAATTACCTTCCTGCCATTTTGAGGAAATCTCATCAATGTCTTTCCATTGATCTTAGAATAAAAACCAAATTTCTTAATGGAGGCCACAATGTCTTCCATTACCTATTTTTCTACTCTCTTCTTATACCAATATCCTCCTTCATTACTATCCTTCAGTCATACAGGCCACATCTCACTTCTTAGCACATTCCAAGTATTTTATTAAAAGAATACAGTCAGTCCTCATACTAGGAATGCAAAGGTGAGCCAAATGAGAATCAATTAATTAATTTTATTTACCCCATTATAGGGAACATCATACTGAAACAGATGGATTCCATTAATGCTAAAAGCAAGAAAAGAATGCTACTGTTATACGCCACACTGTAGGTACTGTCCAATGCAATAAGGCAAGAAAAATGAAATAATAAATATTACAAAGGTTTAGAAAATTATTTCTTACTAACAATATAACCATCTACCTAGACAATCCATGAGAAGTATCTGAAAAACTATTATTGTTTGTGAGTTCAATAAGATATTCAAATATAGTGTAAATAAATAAAAATAGATCAGCTTTCTTATTAACAGTAATTATAGTGGAAAAATGTCCTAGAATCAAAGAAATAGAAAGGATCTCAATATATATTGCCTTGACTACAGATGGGAACTTTCAAAATTGAGCTGTGGAGTATTGATAAAAGGAAATGCATTTTAGGATGCAAAACTAAGCTTCTTTCTAATGGCTGTTTCAATGGATTCAATAAGCCTGCTATATGTGGGGTATGCTTTTAAAAGGTTGAACATGCTTACACAAACACAAAACCATCTAGCTTCCTGATTCCCATCAAAGGAATTCTGAAATTAGTGCTTTTACCTCTACAGTTATATGGCTCTTTTTTTTGGGCAAATGCAATAACAGGGCCTATATTAAATACTTAGGTAGTACCCTTTATATTCAGAGAGGTTCCTTAGGGATCTGAGTGACTCAGACCTTAACTCTGAATCATACCAAAAGGGAGATTTATATCTCTGGAGGACAAAATTCCAGAAAGGTCAGTTTTGAGACTAATATGGTAGCCACTAAACACATGAAGCTATTTACATTTAAATCAGGCTAAAATTAGTTAATATTAAAATTAAAAGTTCAACTCCTTAGTCATACTAAACCATGTTCCAAGCACTCAACAGCCACATGGGGCTAGTGGATATAGTATTAGACAGCTCTAACATAGAACTTTTCCATCATTGCAGAAAGTTCTACTGGGCAGTGCTGTTCTTAGATGAGTCATAATATTTTAAGGTTAGCTTTTTGTTTCTTTTTAAATTATGAAGGAATCCAGACTATATACTGTCTCACTTGTAACCCAAGAGACCACCTATTGAGATGCTGTATTTGTTTATTGCTCAGATAGATGGAATGCATTCTGCTGGGGAGAGATTCATGATGAAGAGGAAAGAGACGAGGTGTTAGAATCAGATGATCCAGATTCAAACACTGGTCCATCTCATCACTTACCCATTAGTCACTTTGAGCCTTAGCTCTGTAAACTGAGGATCCTACCAATGTACTTTTTGTTGGGAGTGAAGCATGTAAAGGACATAAGTAGATAGTCAATAAATAATTGAATTTAAGCACAGTGAACTTATGCTAGATGCCAGTTACTCCTTTTTGTCATCTTTGTGTAATAAAAAATACCAGTCTCCCTTCCCATCCCCTTTTGGTGCTTTAGGACGACTTTCAGAAGTATTCTCTAGCAAATTGCCCCAGACAATGCACTCACTCAATGTGATGTAAAATGCAACACTGGAAGACTTGATACCAAAACCCAGATATTTTGGAAACTCCACCAGGTATTAAATATGACCTTCCACATGTGGAAGAAACATTTCTTTGGCTGAGCAATGGGTTACCCCACTTGGAGGAGAGAAGTGGAGCTGCAGATGCCAGAGGATAAACATGGGCTGGGCAGTTGGCTGCAGTTCTGAAACAGGTGCCAACTTCAGGTCAGAGGCCACAGGGCTTAAGATTCTCACTCCCTTGGGGTTTCTGTCTACTCACCTTATTATTTAGTTCTTGAATGACTTGCTGGGAGGTGTTGTGTCTGGTGAGAGAGGAATCCAGTTGTGTAGAATATTGCTTTAACTGGACTTTCAGCTTCTCGTTTTCCTCTTCCAGATTTCTCAAATTCTCCTTTGACTGTCCCCCATTAAAGAACAAAGCCCAGAGAAGAGGCGTGACCTCTGGCACCTGCAGAAGCCTGCCCCCTGCCCCCCTAACCCCCCTGCTTAGCCCACTGGGTCACCGCTGCGCACCCACAGCCTCCCCGCTGGGCTCACACTGGGCTCTGGGCTCACGCCCCTGCCTGACCCTTCCCGCAGTCTCGTTCTCACCAGCTTTTCTTTCCTTTTTCCTTCCTGCTGGAGCGCTTCAAGCTTTTCCTCCAGCAACTTCTCCTGTCCTTTGCACTTTTTCACCTGCTCCCGTTTCTCCTCCAGTGACCTTGTTACGTCCTTAAGTTCATCTTCCAGATGGCTTTTGGTGCAGGCTTGCTCCCTGTTCTGAGAAAATAAAAACTGGCCTGAAAGACAGGCTCAGACTGTACATTTTTTGTGAGTGTCAGGGGAATCATCCAGATAATTTTACACGGAATCGCCGAAATAAATATGGGGCAACTCTGTTTTTGCTTAGCATAGATTATGAAAAAGTTTCTTCTGATGTTCAGCAACATTTTTTCCTTTGTTCAGTTAGAGAAGCCAACTTATTTCATTCATAGATCCACTTCCCAAAGCGTCAAGCTTCTCTCCTGTTGCTCACCAAATCTTTCCACATAAAAACCTCTCTGAGTAAAGTTTTAAAAAATTTTAGAAAAGCACAAAAGGAATAGCTCCGTGATCAAAGACTTTAAATTGACTGACAAGGATAGCTTTTGAATCCTAGGAAACAATGACACAGTCTTTCGCTTTTCAGCGTAGCCCTTGGAAATGTTTATTGGGGGAGCTGGAGCTGACTGTTGGCTTAGCATTCTAACCCAAATTCTGGACAATTAGTCTGCCATGGATCGGTGGTGTTGTCTTCCCAAATAAGGCCTGGTATGTTTAACCTTACGGAGAGAAAATGCTTGAGCTGGTGCCTTGGCCCTCTTTACCTGGTGCTGAATGAGTTTTAAATGATCTAGCAGGTCATTCAGTTTTATATCCTGCTCAGCCACTGTCTTCTGAAGCTGCCTCTTTTCTTTGTCAGAATTTTCAAGCTTCCTGAGGGCCTCAGAGAGTTCTGATGTCAGTGCCTCTATCTGTTTCCTAAAGCAAAAGGGGAACAACAGGAGAGTCGATGTCTTGCCAATGGGTTTCAGCCCCCAGCAAGTTCACTGTGGATTCAGTGTAACCAAAGTAAATGACAATAAAACGTTCTTAGGGGTGAAAGGGTTTATTACCCGGCTTGTTCTCCGGGCGGTAGGTGGAGCACTAGCGTCTCTGCCTCCGCCCAGAGCACTGGGACGAGCTCTCCATATAGCGCAATAATAGCTTATTTGCCTAAAGGTGTGGAAGCAGTAGCCTAGCAACAGGCCAGTTACATCACCAGGTGGTTTAAGTTCAGTGAGGATCCTGGCCACAGGAACCCCAACTTCCCCGCAGTGGACTTCTGTGGGCGTTGGCGGAGGGAGCCGGCCACCTGGGGCTTGCTGGCCTGGGCTCGCCAGCGACAGAGCCTGTCTCTGTAGAGGAAGCTCTGGCACCTGCTGCGTGCGAGCTCCTCTCTGGCCATCAGGGAATCCTTCTGCAGCTTCCCGAGGTCTCTCTCTAGCTCCTGGGCGGTGTCTGTCCTCTGCTTCTCCAGGAAGAGGCAGCTTTGCAGTTTCCTCTGGGAATTCTCCAGGTCACTCTGTGCCAGGATGGCCTCCTCTTTATACTGAGCTAGTTGCTGAGCTGCAAAAGACAGGAGACAAGCCAGGGGCATGTCCCCGTGAGAAGGGATTATGTGTGAGGATCAGACTCTCAAGCAAGACCAGTTAAAAAGTCAGTTCCTTCCTTTTGAGACCTATTTCCATGTCCAATCTGTCCTCATTTTTCTCCATTTCATTAGGAGTTCTGTTAAATGATCTGTCTTCAACTGCTTCCCTGCCCCAGCCACGGGCTGCTTCTTGACTAAAATTAAGCAAATTGGTAGAAATTGCTCAGTATCTCTTGGGTGACTCATCCCATCATTAGAGACAAATCCTGACCCTCGCGGAGTTCAGAGTCTAGCACAGGGAACATCACCAGCCCACCTGCCTAGAGAACATGGGAATGTTAAACCCAGGCCGACTGTGAACTCAGCAAGGAAGGTCAGTGTGGGTAAGAACAGCTGGAGAAGGGCTTATGGAGGGACACGGTGCGTGGGAAGAGGACGGGAAGAGACTGGTGTCCCTGGCAAGGAGCACAGGGAGAAGCTCCCGGAGATCACGAGTGGGTGCCTGGATGAGAAGAGGCTCTGCAGGACTCTGAAAGCCCGAGAGAAATGTTCAGACTTAATTTAGTTCCTGAGTCGGTGCCTGACATGAAAGAAAGAGCGCCTTAGGCAAGCTGGAGTGGGTCGGGGCGGAGGAAGACCTCCTGCAGCGTCTTTTCCTCGCCTTGCCTCTCCTGGGTGTGAAGGGAAAAGCACCCAAATGAGTTGCTTCCTGGAGCTTCTTTGCGCCAAATACGGCCCCAGAGCGCATTGCTTCTACTTTCAGTCTTGCTCCTGTCCATTTTTTCTGCCTGGGAAACTGGAAGAAAGATGGTGTCACTACCTAAATAATGATGCACTTTGGAGGAAGAGAGGGGGATTTTTTTTTTTTTTTTGATAGGGAAGGGAAGACACTCAGCTTTGGGAATGTTGAATGCAAGGGGAAGGGAGGCGCCCAGATGGAGCTAGTCTCTAAAGATAAGAGCACAGGTGAGAAGAGTCAGGCCAGCCTCTAGGTGTGGGGTCATCTGCAGAGAAATGCAGCTACAGCGAAGCAAATCACTCACTGAAGAATGAGGGCAGAGGGAGGAGAGAAGGTGGAGGGCAAAGGTTTGGGGATGGACGGCCACTGTCAGGGCAGGAGGGCAAAGGGGCAACATGGCTGAGATCTGTGGAAGAACAAGGGACCTCTTGTGTCTCCAAAGCTAAGAAACAACTGTTGAGGGGTGAGAGGCCAAAGGCAGAGAGACACACAGAGGGTTAAAGGAGGGTCAGTGTGGGTAAAATGGAAGTTCCTGTGGCCAGGATCCCCACCTGCCCCTGAACTACTTGATGCTGTAGCTGGCCTGCTGCTAGGCTCCTGCTTCCACACCCTAGGCAATGAGCTATTACTGACTGAGTCACTATATGAAGGGCTCTGCCCAGGGCTTTGGCTGGAGGCAGAGGTGGGTTATGGATCTGCAAACTGCTGGATGCAGACGTGATTCTAGGGCTTGGCCTACTGCTGTGAGAATAAAATGGGTATAAACCCTTTTTTACCCTAAGAATGTTCCATGGTCATTTCTAGGTCTCGCCAAATCCATGGTGAACTTGCCAGGGGCTGAAAACCTCAGGCAAGATAGTCAGGAAGGAAGGAATTTTCCCAAGTTGATGTATCACTCACATAACACAAAATTTACCCTTTGAAAGTGTACAGTTCAGTGGCTTCTGGCGTACTTACAAAGGTGTGCAACCATCACCAATATCTAATTCCAGAACATTTTTATCACCCCCTTAAAGAAACCCCACATCCAAGGGCAAGAAGTCCTTGTGACCTCTGAGAAAGCCATTTCAGCAGAGGGGCCAGTTGCACAGAAGAGATTTGTATTTGGAGGCAAAGGGAAAAAAAAAATCAAAATGGAGAGAGAGTGTTAAAAACCAGGGAAGGAAGAGATGAATGCTGTGATGAAGGTCCTAGAGAAGATGGAGAGGAATGTGGTGCCAAACAGCAGAGTGCAGAGCCCTGTCCTCGCCACGGCGAGGGAAGGGTCTTCATGTGAGAAAGCAGTGGGCATGGGAGTTCACGGTTCACTTTCCCAGCTGAGCTCCTGCCACGTGGTGGAGGCTGCAGGGAGAAGGTGAGGCTGGGGAGGAGTGAAGGGCAGTCCTAACTGCTCTGCAGCGTGGGATCCTGAGATGGTTTGGAGCGAGAAGTTGGAGAAAGGGGAGGGAAGTGGCCCTTTGGAGAAAGAAGGGGGCTGCTCTTGTCCATTGGGTCAGAAGTGTGGTGGGCACAGCGCTTGCTAGGGGCTCACCAGCCAGCCTCTGCTGCTGTTTGGCATCTTGGAGACAGTCCTGCAGCTGCTGCAGCTCAGTTCGCATGGCTCCACACTCTGCCCTGCAGTCATTCCGCTTCGCCTCCTGAATGGTGAGTTCCAGTTCCGCTGCCATGCGTTGCTGCTTATCCAGCTCTACCTCTTTTTTCATGAGGGTGTCCTGAACCTGTGCCAGCTCCTTCTCTAGCTCGTGCAGCATTTCAGCCTTCTCTTGGAGGAGCTGAGGAAAACAAAGCAGTAATGCTGGTAAAGGCCTCAGCGGTTGCCAGGTGGAGTCGAGTCAGAGGTCTTGAGGCCTCTTCCAGCCCGTCCTCTGGCCTGGATATTGCAATAGCCTCCTACCTTTGCTCCCGGCCTCCCCTCAGGCTATTCTCAAGGCAGCAGTCAGAGGGAGGCCTGCAAAGGTGAGATTCAGATCTTGTTACGCATCTGCTTGAAACTCTTCACTGGCTCTGTCTCACTTAGAAAAAGGCCAAAGTCCTCACAAGGCCTCCTGCAATGCCTGTGATCTGGTCTCACCTCACCTCTGGCCACTCCCACCCTCTGCCCTCTGCTCCAGCTGGCCTCCTGGAGCACTCTAAGCAGAGTCACACCTGAGGGCTCTTGCACTTGCTACTCCCTCTGCCTGGAATATTCTTCCTCAAGACCTCTGCCTGGGTGGTTCGTTCACTCCATTCAAATCTCTGTCCAGAAGTCACTTTATCAAAGGGGCCTTCCCTGACCAACCTGTGTAAAACAGCCACCAAGTTGTTTTAGGAATTTATCAGTTCTTGACATTATATTATACATTAGTTTTGCTATCTGTTTATTGTCTGTCTTTCCCCACTAGAATGTAAGCTCCATGAAAGTAGAGTATATTGCATGTTATATTCTTAATGCCAAGAATGGTGCTTGGCATTTCATAGGAGCTCAAAAAGATCTGTTGAGTGAATTCATGAACAACTTGAAATTGTTTATGTAGACTCCTTGCTTCTTGTCACCATTTCTCCAAATAACTCCATTTTGACTGGTGGGTCACTTCTGGCCCTTGAAATGGGAGGTTTGAATGTGATCAGCCAGTCGATCAACCTCTGATAAAAGCTGAGACTTGCATAGTACAGACTACACAAGCTTGCCCTGCTTTCACAATCTTTCTGTCCTTGGTTCTATTTCTAGGCTTTTCCAGGACCTTGATTTATGTTGGTAACTACAAATCCTCTAGGGCACAGCTCCATTAATATTTTCAAACTGCCTGATTTACATATTCATGAGATGTTTGTAATAAAAAAAATTGAAATTCACATAATTTCTTAGCATTTCCTTCCACTCTCAAGCGTAAACAAGAGCATCAGAGAACAATGTAAGGCGTGTGTGTGTCCCGAACTATCTTGTGGGGTTGGGGAAAAACCTCTTTCTTCTGCAGTCAACATCTCTATGAAGGTCCCTGGCCTATGACAGTTTATTTATTATGCACTAAGAGAAATACCAAAGAGGTGCTCAGAATCGCCTCCGGGCCTGAAGAACACATAGTCTCATTGCTTCTATGTTGCTGCTCCCCAAGCAATCACGGTGCAGAACGCAGAAGCCCCTCCCGCCACGCTCTGGCCTCACGCCCGCCCTGTTGGCAGTTCCAGCCAGGGAGCTCCTCGCCCTACCTTGTCTTTCTTCAAACCAAGCTTCTGGGTCTCTGTGAACTCCGTCCGCAGCTCCTGCAGCCGCCGCTGCAGGATGGCCACCTCCTCATCCTTCCTCTCCACGTGGGCAGATGTCTCCTCCCGCAGCCCGTGCAGGTCCAGCTCCAGCTTCATCACGTCTGCAGCAGAATGAGACAGAGTGAGGAGCTCGGGCTTCCTGCCGCCTCTCCACTCCGCTGCACCCCAGCCTGCGGTCTACCCTTCATGATGCTTTTCTTATGTTCGGACACAGCTTCCAGCTCCAGGCGCAAGTCCTTCACCAGGTTCTGGTAGTCCTCCACGTGCAGGCACTGGCTGTCTTTCTGCTCCTGCAAGTGCTTCAGTATCTGGGCAGACGGAAGGAGAGCGGGGCGGAATGAGGACGGTGGGGGGAAAATGCTTTTCCAGACGCCCAGTGTCCAGAATTGGCAGATCCCCGAGACAGAAGGTAGAGGGGTGGTTGCCAAGGGCTGGGAGTGGGAGGAGGGGGTGGGGGTGACTGCTCACACATCCGGGCTCTCTTTTTGGAGTGATGAAAATGTTCTGGAATCAGTGGTCATGGTTGCTCAGCTTTGTGAATGCATTAAAACCACTGAATTGTACACTTTAAATGGTGAAATTTATGGTATGTCAATTATATCTCAATTAAAATTATTTAGAAGAGAATAATTTTAAAAAAGGATATGTCAGCCTTATCATGCTCACACAGAATGAGCACAAAAGGAGCCACTCCCTTTCTCCCTGAAATAGTCCCTGGTCATGGATGGAGGACCTACTGTGTGCCAGGCATGGTCCTAGGTGCTGGGGATGGTGGAGCAAAAAGCAGAGATACAAATCCTTGCCCCCTTGTCTCGGAGCTGACCTTCTAGTGGGACGAGATAGACCAAGAGCATACATAACAAGCAGCGACTTGGAGAAAAGGTTCAGACTTGGTAAGTGCTATGGAAGAACAGCACAGCACAAGGGGGATGGAGGCACAGGGGGTGGGGGTGGGGGTGGATGTTGCAGTTTTAAATAGGATGGAGGGGGTGGCCTCCCTGGGAAAGTGCCTCTAAGCAGGCACTCGCTGGAGGTGTGGGAGTGAGCCGTGCTGTGGGTATCTGCAGTGGGGGTCTTGCCAGTGACCAGGCTCTGGGAGAGAGCCATATGGCTAGAGGGCAGCGAGGGGCAGAGAGAGGAGGAGCAGAAGAGCTGAGGAAGGCAGTGGGCGACCACATCGTGTGGGCTTGTGTTCCCTGGGCCACAGCTTTGGTCTCTCCCTGAAGGAGAGAATGGGCCACGGCTGAGAGAAGGCAGGGGCATGTGGCCAAGGAGGAGCAGTTAGTCGTCAGGGCTTCCAGGGATGCTGGGGAGAGACAGTCATGCGCCCTGAGAGCTGCCAGGGAAGGAGCCGGTGGCGTGAGGACAGTGGGACAGCTGGAGATAGGCAGGCATTCACCCTGTGACCCAGGAGTGGCCCTGCAGGGACTCGAAGGCCCCTCTATGCCAGGCCAGCTGAGGGGGCAGAGGGCTACTGGCATGGACTGTGAGCGGTTCTGTTCCCAATAGACTATCCAGGTCACAATAAAGGCTTCATGTAGGATACATAAAATAGCAGGGAAAGGGGTGTTCTGTTTTTTGGGGGGAAGTCTGTATCATTTAAAAAAAAAAAGGAATTAGTGTTCTGTGGATATAAAGTTTCAGTTTTGCAAGATGAAGTTCTAGAGATCTGTTGCCCTACAATGTGAATATACTGAACATGACTGAACAGTACACTTCAAAGTGGTTAAAATGGTAAATTTAATGTTATGTGTTTTTTTAACCACTATAAAAGAAATTAAGAGTAAGGGAGAAATAAGGATGTTTTTCAGGTGCCTCACCACCCCCCAAAAATTGGAGTGTCATGAGACCCTGCCGTAGGTCAGGATGTGAATGACAAGGAACTGGCCTTTCAATGACACAGACTTCCCCAAAACACAGAACACACCTTTCCCTGCCATTTTATGTATCCTGTACAGATGTCCAAGGAGGAACTCCACAGTTCAATATTGATCCCTCATTCATTCAAACTTTCTGGCATCAGAAAATCCTGGCGAACGTCTGTTCTTTAGTCTCTAAAGTTCCTAAAGAGTCTCTGCTCCCCAACTAGAGGGCGCACTGGAGAGCTTGTATGTGTTGCTACTCTCTTTGCCTCCTGCCTTTGCTACTTCAGAATCGGCGGCCTGCCCTCAGTGGGGCCTCGTCTGGCTGGCTTTGCCTTGGACCTCAAGTTCAGGCATGACTCACTTAGGAGGGGACCTAACCTAGTAGGTCAAATCTTGCTTATTTGTTTCCATGGTTTAAATGCTCATTCACTATTGAATCAACTTTTGAGATGGCTTTGCATTTTGAAAATGCTGAGTTTTCAAAAAAGGTAGTGAATTTGAACTAATAATCTTCATGCACTTGTTACTTCTCAACTCCAACTAGAAACTAGAAAGCAGGAGGATTCCTTTTGAATCTAGTAAGCCAACTGTAGGAAGTGGATTAGAGGCAGGTCCAATTCCAAAATTCAATGCCAAAACCAAATGTCATCAGACACACTCAATGGGGCTCTGCATACATTATATATTATCCTTGTGACAGGGCCAACTGAAATAAAATATACATAAAAATATAAAAATAAAAAATAAGCAAGAAAACCCAGAATCAAACCTAACTTGGCCGGTCCCCACTAGGCACTAATGAGCAAGAGTTCTCACACCTTTTTGATGTCTTCACAATCTTCTGAGGAGGTGGGAGGATGTCTGTGGGTCGCTGTGTAGGAAGCGAAGTTGGCTTGTAATTTTATCAAAGCCTCTTCCCGCTCCAGAACCTGCAAACCAGCAAAGCCCAGTAATGCTGGCAGATCAGAGTAATGTGCTCATACCGAGCACTATTTCTGTGGGGCACTCCTTTCTCACCCTAAGCCTGTTGCAGTATTATATACGTCACCGCACACTTCCTGTGGGGTTGGTACCGAGAAGAAATTATATTCTCAATCTCATGTCAAGGTTCAGGAAGGCACGGACAGTGGTTTGTCTGGAGTCAGTCAGTGTCCTCATTTCGGACTCCCTCCCTCCCTCTGTCTCTGTGCTATCCAGTTTATGAGTCAGAAGAAGGTTCTTTGGGGGCTGTGATGGAAAGATGTACTTACTCCGTCAGAGGACGGGATTCAAAGTTCAAGAATTAAAGAAGCAAGTTTTTTATGAAGTGGTGAATATGTGTGTACTTTTTTTTGAAAATGAAAAAAATATGACATATTTGTTCTTGGTTGTTGAAAATAATTCAAATAAAACCCAAGCATCAAAAATGAAAAGTGGAATCTCCTCTCCACTTATTCCCTGCCCCCTCATTTTACTAAGGGGTGGGAGGCACTGTTTGCAGTTTACAGCATATACTTCTGTAGTATAATCAAAGACTTTAAAAATCAAAAACAAACTATATATAAGATTCTGCAACCTTTTCTCGAGAATATGCCACAAACATCCTTCCCTGCAGCCGTTACAGATTTGCTTGATCCTTTTCTTGGCTGCATATTGTTCCACAATACGGATATCTATAGGCGACTCTTAGTTTTTCCCTCCTTTCTTTACCTCTGGCTTTATTTTCTTATATATATATTATATATATTATATTATATAAAATATACAAAAATATATATATTATATAAAATATATGTATATATTTTCTTATATATATATATTATCTTTCTAAACCATTGTAATGTTACAGGCAAGTCAAATTTCTCTTTGACCCCCACTTCCAAGCCCGTACTTGCAGGGATGGCAATTAGTACATATCCTTCTAGAACTTTATCTACACACTTACATATATATAAATTCATCCATAGAATGAAGGTAATATTATGTTGTCTTTTTAAGACATAAAAATTGATTTTCTTCACTCAACAAGATGTCTTAGAAATTTGCCCATGTTACATGTGCTTATATTTTGTCCTTTTAAGTGTGTTTATCCAGTCTCCTACTGATGGGAATATAGGCTGTTTCTAAGGTTGTTGTTCTAAGATGAAGCTGAAATGAATATTTTTGCACTTTAATCTTTGAGTACCCATTCTGTTATATGTGTAGCTTGAGTTCATAGAAGTTATTATTATTGATAAAAGTGTAGACTGGTAGAAGTTTTTGATATTCTGTTTAGAAGTATCTTTAAACATTAAAGATAAACACACCCTTTGACCCAGCAATCCCACTTCAGGGAAACACTCCATAAAAGTAAGAATGTTCATTATAGCTTGTTTGTAATAGACAAACAGGTCAGTAGACGGTTCAGCCATACTGCAGAAAACAAGGTAGTAACTAAAAGGAACTGTCAAGATTTAAAAAGCAAGGTGTAGAACGACATTTATAAAATGAACCATTTTTCTAAAAGGAAAACACTAACCATTTATATATGTAACTGTATAGGAAAAGGTTGGGGAAGATTCCCAATACATTATTCAAGTGAGAGCAAAAGGGGAGGAGGGTGGGATGGAGGAGGCTGAAGGTGGATTTTCATATTCAATCCCCATAATTCTGTCTAGAGAGCCTGCATCACTGTATTACCAATGTAATATAAAAAAGCAATTAAACGAAAAACAAATTCAGGCATTTTGGCTCTTTTTTGCTATGTTTCATGTCTTCCTTCTGTTTGATCCTGAAGTTATGGTTTGCATGAGTCTCGTGACCTAAAAGAGCCACCTGCCAAACCCCATGAGAATGCAGAAAATTTGAGAGCTTACCTGGTAATACACTTTCTGCCTTATTTGAAATGCTGGCTCTTTATATTAAGGACCTCAAAATTCCTAAGGAGCTATATTAATGGAGATGCGAAGGCTGGAAGCTCAAAGCTGAGGCTCCAAAATCCCAGGGAAGGAATGACACATGGCTGCAGGTCTGGGCTGGGCTGGAGGGGGCTGTGACTGTCACAGGGACCACCTGGGAGCACTGTGGGCTCTTGTTTACAGCACAACGACTCCCACCTGGGGGCCCACCTGTTGGTGCTCCGGGCCTGAGTGGCCGGGTTCAAGTCCTACCTGACTGGTGATCACGTTGAGCTCCCCCTCCAGCATCTTCACCTGGCACTCCAGTAACTCAGTGTTGCTCAGAGAAGTCTGGTATTTACCCCTGTAGAGGTTTAAGCTCCTTTCTAGGGAGATGATCTTGTCCCCTGCCAAAGCAAGTTGCTCCTGTGCCAAACGGAGCTTCTCCCCTGCGTTCTCATTGTGATTTCCCATTTCCTCCTCATAGAGAATCACCTGTTGATGGGGGGAATGAAACCGCACTGAACCCATGGAAGCATCTGATGAGGAAAGGATGTGGCTTTAGGACCCCCAGCCGAAGAGTCTTGTATCTTAACTAGAAACCCAGATGCACAGAATAGACCCAACACAGATCTAAAAAGTGACAATATATATCAGAATATTAATGATTAGAAATAAAAAAAAGAGATTGTCCTCTTCAGATGGTAAACTTCTTAAAGGCACAGACCATTACCTGTTTATATATGTAACTGTATAGGAAAAGGCTGGGGAAGATTCCCAACATATTTTTCAAGTGAGGGCATAAGGGGTCTGTCTGGCATGTATGAGGAACTCAACAAAGACTTGTTAGTTGATCAAGAGGAATGAATTTGTTCATATAGCTCCATTTTTTAAAAGGCTTGCAATGCCAGTATTCTTTCTTCCCTAGGTATCCTCTAGAGGTCTAATTTAGAAAATGTAGAGCCCCTCGTGGCCACAGGTACATGTTAGCAAAGTTCCCTGGAGAGAGTGGGGGAGAATGAGCACAGTTCCTTTAGGATTTGCATGAGCCTTTTACATTCCTTTTTTTCCTAACCAATTAGTCAACCGACTGACAGATATTTATTGAACGTCATGAGCAATGTCTTGGGTGTATACCTAGAACGCATGGGGTCTCCCTCAAAGAGTTTACAAACTTCTACCTTTTTGGGAAGATACGATTTAAAATTAGCAAACAACTATATATTGTTGCATGTACTAAATTGTATGGCTTGTATTACATGTATTGACGGAGTTAGTGGGAGGGTGGTTGAGGAAGGATTCATTTTGGTTGGAACAGTTCAGTGTAGAATTCGGATAGAACATCTTGTATTGGTTCAAGCTAATTATACTTGCTGCCTGGCATTTGAGATTCTTCTAAGAAAGGCTCCTTTAGTTTGAGGTATTTATTAGGCAAGCAGAAGAGGAAAGGGATATTTCATATTCAATTGTTTATAACAGAAGCTGACAGCAGCCCTCTCATATCCCCTTGGCCCTCACCATTCCTTTGCAGGCTAAACCCATCCCAACCACAGGCGTCTTTAACTCTGCCTGAGGGATGCACGGGCCCCAGGAGCCCACTCAAGCAGAAGAGTAAGACAGGTTACAAGTCCTGGGAGTTAATGTCTTCAGGTGCAGCCCTCACCAGTGACTGGGGTGGTTGGCCGGATCACGGAGCATGTTCTATGCTGTCTCCCAGAGTTCTCCGGAGGGACTGAACCCCAGTGCCCACAGCAGTGATATTAATAATGATTTTCTTTGTGGGCTTCCTGCCCTTCTTGGATTCACTTCCTCACTCTCTCACCACGCTTCCTAGGATCACCTTCTGAATTAACTACTTATCATCTCTTGTCTTAGGGTCTGCTGTTAGGAAACCCAACCTCAGACCAAAGTTCTATGCTTCTGTAAAACAAAGTATGGGATAACTTGGCAGAAGGCCTAAAGTGATTTTTCCAGTGCTTTCCTGTTTGGAATGTGTGTCAGTGACTGCTTCTTGCTAAAACCCACATCAATTTTCCTCTTCTTCCTTAATAAGAGATCCTTGATTTTATTTGGGACAGTGTGCACTTCACTAAGACACTACTTTTCTTAGGCTTCTTAGGAACTACCTGTGGCCATGTGACTAACTCTGTCTAATGATATGTAAGTGCAAGTGTGGATTTCTGGAAAGTGTCCTTAAGAGGGAGGAGTGTGCCTTTCTTTCCCCACCTGCTCCCTGCCCCCATCTTGATTATTTGGAACAAGAATGTGATGGTTGGAGCTCTGGCAACCACTTTAGGTCACCTAGAAAAGGAAGCCTTGAGCTGATGAGGGTGGAATCAAAGGTAGGACCCCAGGTGCTTGATGACACATACATTTACCATAACAGTCCAAGGCCACCTATCTCTGACCTTCTTTCATATATCATAGAAATAAACTATCTTACTTAAGCCACTATTACTTTGAGGTTTTCTGTTATATTCAGCTGAACAGAACCCCAACTCATTTAGGCTGGACTCTTGTTTAAGTCATAATGAACCAGCCAGTTTTAATGTAGTCCTGCATTAGTTTATTAAATCATGGTTTATGCTCACAGGCTTTGTTCCAGATTATATTTTGTACAATAACCTTTCTTTATTCCTTTCCCTTTCAATCCTTTTCAGCAAATTCTCATTGACCATAATATTCCCTTAAGAAAAATTCTACATTCTTTAAGGCCCTTCATAAACGCCCTGGAGTTAGTCTTTAAACACCACCCCCTTCCAAGACAATCCTTGGAGTTTTATCTTTAAAGACAAAGGAAGAACATGCCAGGGGAGTCTGCCTGTCCCATCACTTAGAACCCACAGTTTCACTGCTGCCAGGGCCTCCACTGATCAACGGGTTTAAGTTCTACAGCTTTGGTCTTGGAGTTTACTTGGGATTCCACAAAGATGCTACTCTTTGGTCTAAAAAATATGACCCTGGGATATGCTTAGAAATGAATGTCCAGAATATAGTTAAAACTAAATCTACAGGATCTAAACAACTCCAGTCCAAAAAAGTGACCAATCCTGTGTTTTCAATGACTGGCTCAGACTCAATGTCTGGTTATCTTATCAACTGTGCAAGTGCCAGAAATTTATATATTATCAAAACCTGATTTTTCTAAAAATGGTTCTTTTAATGGCCCTTAGAGCTTTTTTATGACCCTCAGAGACTTAGAGTCTTTTGCATTTAAATTGCAATTGTAATGAGATGATGGACCTACACACATACACCCCCCCCACTACACACATGTACCACATACCCCACATGCATTAATACTGGAGTTCTCACTCAATTAGACCATTCTGCTTAGTTCCCTCTACTCAGCTTCAAAAAGATCAAGAATTAAAGCCGAAACGTTGATAAAACCCACTCAAGATGTTGCAAAGCTCTCCTCCGTATAGGTTTATGTTTGCTTTCTGGTAGGGTTGGCCTGATTTCTGTAGGTACATAGGCACATGGGACATGTCCATAGTTTCTCTGTCTATACCTCATCTTGTTTCCGTTTGCAGTGACAGTGGAGAAGATCCAGGCCGGAAGCCTGCTTCTCTAGGACGGACTGATACTGCAGGAGAGAGCGGTAAGACGTCTGCAGCTCCTCCGTGTGGAGCTCCAGCTCTTGCTGAAGGGCCAGCAATTTTTTCTTGAGCTGTTGGAGTTGTCTCAGGCGACACTCTCTACTGGGCTCAAGCTCCATCGGCGACTCTTCAAATGCTGACACTTCTTTCTTGTTCTGCATGAGGTGGGATATACAGGAAAGGTTTTAGATGGTCACCACGTGTGCCTTCGTCCTTTGATTTTTTTCATTTGTTCGACCATTCACATCCATTTACTTATTATTCTTTTATATATACATATATATTTATTTATTATCCACATTCTTTTATCTTTTCACCTACAGGACACTTAGGAAACATTTCACTGTATTCACAAGGAAATATCCCGTTGTATCTCACTCTGTAAGAAGGATTTAAAAGAAGGGAAACAACAATAATTCTTTCCTACGATTAGTTTTATCATTCCTGTTATTTAGATCAGAAGGAAAACATACTCAAAAGGACCTAGTGAATAGTATAAAGATAAATGAGATGATCTGCTAGTTTACCTTCACATACAAGGATTAACACAGTTCACCTGGAAGGTAAGAGGCTTTTGGTTATGGTTCTTGGACTACACTTGGTTATTAAAAATGCCCAGAAGAAAGGGCAAAGTCTTGGGTAGGCGCTTGTGGAAACAGCTTTCAGGAGTGCTGGGAAACTGCAGGCAGAGAGCGTGTTTCGGCGCCGCTTCTCAAAAGAAAAGGTGATCTTGCAGAAGCTGAGGGTGCGTGCATGTTTGTGTGTGTGCGTGTGGGTGTGAGAGAGAGATTTCTTCCTGCCAATCCACAGTCAACCTGAAATGCTGCTAGAACATCTTCCCTAGCACTTTTTCCTTTTAATACACTACATAATTTATCTATTTAATTTGTTCCCTTCCCCCCTCCCCCTTGGATGCAAACTCCATGAGGGCAGGGATTCTGTCTGTTTTATATACTTCTGTATTCCCATTACCTAGGACAGGGCTTAACAATAGGTACACCATAATTTTCCTGAACAAATTCATTGAATGAAACTATCGTGCCCATACAATGCCTACTATGTTAATGTTCATAGCAGCATTATTCATTACTAGCCAAAAATCAAAACAATGCAAATATCTATCAACTGGTGAATGATAAACAAAATATGTATATTTGTACTATTAAGCATTAAAAAAGAACAATGCTGATTCTTGCCATAACCTGGATGAACCTCAAAAACATTATACTGAGAGAAGAAAGCCAGACCAATAGAGGATACGTACAATTCCGTTTATATGAAATGTCTGGGAAGTTTTCAGTCATTCATTCAATAAAATTATGTTGAACACCACTTTGCATTAGGTATTCTGCTGCTCAGACCAGTGTTGTTGATTCTAGTACAACTGGGGTCTTTGCACTGATGCTTCTATGTGTTCATACCAGACATCCCTGATGACACCTGAAAGAGAGGTGGATGAAGAGGATGGCCTGTGGGCATTCTGTAACTCCCTCTCTGCTTATTATCCCCCTACCTCATTCTTTAAAACCCTGCCCAAATCCTGCTTTCCTTTCTATTTTCCCAGGAAAGCTGTCTTTGCACCAACACCACAGATTGCTGGCATGGTCTTAATATGGCATTTCACATTCTGCTTTGCATGGTCATGATTGCTGCGCATCTTATCTCCTACTTAGATTATAAACTCCTGGCGGGCAGAGGCCGTGTCTGTCCCTAGAGGGCCTAAATTAGAGATTCATACATGGCTAGGTATTAAGGGAAAGAAGGAAATAAAATATAAAATAAGTTCCCAAGAATTTGAGTTTGTGGCTTCGGCCTTATTAACAGAGTACTTTCAAACATTTAAAAATTAACTTTGTTTTAGTTTTATTGAGGTATACTTTAGATTTCATAAACTTCAACCATTGTAAGTGTACAGTTTAATGATTTGTAGCAAATTTATAGAGTTTTGCAACCATTATTACAATCTAGTTTTAGAATATTTCCATCACCTCAAAATATTCTCTCGTGCCCATTTGTCATGCCCGTTCCCACCCCAGCCCCAGGCAGCCACTAAGCTGCTTTCTGGCCCTAGGGACTTGCCCTTCCCCGACATTTCATATAAATGGAATTATACGTGTCATCTATTGTGTCTGGCTTTTTTCTTTTAGCATAATGTTTTTGAGGTTCATCCAGGTTATGGCAAGAATCAGCATTGTTCTTTTTTAATGCTTACTAGTACGAATATACATATTTTGTTTATCGTTCACCAGTTGATGGATATTTGCATTGTTTTGATTTTTGGCTAGTAACGAATAATGCTGCTATGAACATTAACATAGTAGCCATTGTACGGGTATGATAGTTTCATTTAATGAATTTGTTCAGGAAAATTATGGTGTACCTATTGTTAAGCCCTGTCCTAGGTAGTGGGAATACAGAAGTATATAAAACAGACAGAATCCTTGCCCTCATGGAGTTTGCATCTAAGGGAGGAGGGGGGGAGGGGGACAAATTAAATAGATAAATTATGTAGTGTATTAAAAGGAAAAAGTGCGAGGGAGGATAGTAAATCGAGGGAAGGAGATGAGGAATGCCAGGATGGGCAGTCGTGATTTTTAATAGTGTTTACCAGGGTTTAGTTTTGGTAACACGAAACTAACTAGGTAACACAATGGACTAACTAAACGATGAGAGGTCACTCAAATCTTCCAGTAGAGGGCAAATGTAGCAGCTGACCTGATTTGTCTAGTTATAAAGATCCAAGAACTGCTTATATGTGCAGAGAAACTAGAGTTTTCTTGGATGAGAATTTTAAACATTTGCACGCTGTAGATACCTATGGATTTAGAGGGATCAGATTTCAAAGACTTGGAGAAATGCCTCAGCTTATTTGAGATCTATTGAATTTCTACTTATTTATCCTTGAGTAGTCAAAAGATTGTTTTTCCTAATTCTAAATGAATAGAAAATGACATGCTATGGATTAAGCCTACATTTCACTTATATATGTGCAAAAGGGCAGTATCATAAAGGCATCAGTGTATTTCCTACCGCTTCTTTGTCTTCTTTTTTTAAAGTTTTCTTTCTAGTGAAGACACAGATATTTCATTAGATTTTGCTTTGATCTTTAAACTGACATCAAGGGAAAATGGGCAAGTTGGAAGTGATCTGATGGAAGTAATATTAGTTCTCAAAGTTAACCATCCAGAGTTGGATGTGATTCCAGAGGACATCTGGTTCACCATGTTTTTTGGATAGATTTCTATCCAGGCCTCAGCTGTCTTAAAAGATGGAGAGCCCTGGTCACCTGTAGGAACCTGTTACCAAATTTAGTCAACTCTTGAGCCCTACTTCTGGTCAAAGAGATTATAGCTATTGCTCCCTCTTTGCCTATGTGGCCACCTGATCACAGAAGGAAATTAATTGGCCTGGCATGATTTGCCTTTTGAAAAGTCACTTTGGTTTCCACCCAATGCTTTGTGCTTTTCAAGCTGATGCTAATTGATTGATGTTAAATTCTCTATTTTCCCTGATACTGAAGTTAAGCTGACAGGTCTATAATTACCAGGATTGTCCTTTTTCCCTTTTTAAAAAGATGAGCACTTCATTTACCCTTTTTTAAGTCTACAGGGACTTTCTTTATCCTCTTGAGTTCTCAAAAATAATAGCTAGCAGCTATGTAATAACACCTGCCAACTCCTTAAGTTCTCTTCCACGCATGTCATCAGGTCCTGCTGATCTGCCTGAAGCTGGCATTTCAAAGTACTTTTTAACCATTTTATTTCCTATTCTAGTTTGTGCTGACTCTCTTCTGTCTCAGGTTGACATTGTTCTGATAACTGGATCCTTGCTGATTTTTTCCTTCATTTAAGAACTGAAAGCCTCATCTTTTTCCAGTCCCTATCCTGACTTCTTTTCCTGTCTTAGCAGCGTTAGGTGGAACATTTTCCTTGTAACTCCGGTTTAGCCTTGTATCACTAGAGAGGTGAACCTGTTACCTTTAGTAGCTTCTACAAATTGCCTTTCTTGTACTGGTAGAGTATAGAACTATGTGTTTAAGTGACATGCATTTCTTTGGGATACATCTTTGTGGTTTAGACATTTTTCTCATTAGTGATCTCTGCTTACCAGAGATTCCCTGAAGAAAACTCTTTATTATGGAATAATCTTAGATTTACAGAAAAATTGTACAAGCAAGATGGACAGTTCCTGTATACTCTTCACCCATCTTCCCCTAAGGTTAGCATTTTACATAACTATAGTACATCTGTCCAAGTTGGAAATTAACATTGGTCGATTATTATTATATAAACTATATATTTTATTTGGATTTTATCAGTTTTTCCACTAATTTGTTTTTTTTTTTCTTTCTGTTCCAGGATCCAATCCCAGATCTCACATTACATTTGGGAGTTTCACTTAAAAAAATTTTTTTTTCATTCCCAGTGATTTAAAGTGATATTTCTGTGTGATAGTTTTCATCAGGAGTGTGTCAGTAATTCAACTAATTACTTTTATCTGCAGAAATCAGATTTCTTACACAATTTTATGCTGATATTCATGCTTCCATACACTTTAAAGGTGAGTTGACAATCTGAGCTCTACTGAGTATCAGGGTAGAACTGCAGGTCACCACCAGGGTCACAGGAGCCCGGGAAATTGCTCAGAAAGCTCCTTCCTTTTCTGGTTTGATTGTGACTGAATGATGATATCGCTGTTGTTCTTTTCTCCTTTCACTTTAAATGAGGCACTCTTTTGGTTCCTGGGCAGGGTCAGGACGAGAGAGACGCAAGTGACGTACACATTCAAGGAGGCATTTGGTCTCAGCAAGTGCAGGGCTGGTACCTGAAGAATGAGTGCACCATAACTGCACCCTATGCACCTCCTTTTCTTTCCCCTAGTCCTACCTCTGTTCCTGGCTTTTACAGCGTAATGTATTATTGATTTACAAGGTCACCTACCTACTTCCTGACACTCCAGTCGTTACACAAAACATCCGATGCACTATTTTAATTTTCTTGCTTGACTGCAGTGCTGAACCATCACCTCCTGCTCTTCCTCCAGCTCTTTGTTAGGTATTAGTCAAACTTTCAGAAAGTCTTGAGTTTCCCCTTTGTTCCCATCTTACATTTCCTTGTGGAAGGCATATCTTGCAGGGATTTTCTGAGTGGATTAGTATAAGTCTACATCTAATTATGTATTTGTATGCGTGGTCTGCAATTTAAATTCTGCACTAAGTGCTAGAAAAAAAAAGAGCCTGTTTTAAAGCTTGTTTCAAGCTGTTAGACCTTCTTCTGGGCAATTAGAATAATAAAATGCGATTGAATACCTTTCTCCTTCCAAGTTGTCAGGTACATTTATAAGCCATATTGCTTTCCCTGACTGGGGGAATAAATAAACTTGTGACAGCAATGGCGAAAATATTCTAAAATGTTAATATTTAGAAAGAGGTAAATTATGATAATCTTCTTCCTGAGATGCATGTAGGAAAAGCAGTGGATTTCTCTGTGTCTGTGACTTCCTGGGGACAGGACAGCAATGCTCGGTAAGTAAGGCAGCATTGCTTTGTTGGTGGAGGTTTTAGGACATCACAGAGGAACAGTTTCGTGGTTTCTGTGGGGAGGTGGTTAAGTCCTGGGAGAAGTCTGACAGGTACAATCAAGAGAGACCAGATCCTTGACCACCAGTGTTGAAGAGGACAGTGGCTGCTCACACAGCAGCCAAGAGACTAACTTGGGGGTCCAGAACAGGTTTGTGTCACCAGTCCCTGCTTTCTGTTGGCCAAGAACTCAAGTCCCTAAAAAGAAGACTGCAAGCAAGGAATTCTTGGAAACCCAAAGTTTTTGGAGAGCTATGGGAAAACTTCTCCCAGCTGGCTCCCCAGCTCACGGGACAAATTGAGAGCCTGGTGTACAGACCCTGGTACTAGGGTTGGCAAAGAAAGAAAACCTCAGGCTGAAATGAAGTTGCCTCAGCTGACAACTGCCTGGGCTACAGAAGAGTATTTGCTGAAAATCACAATCTCAAGAAAGAGGATCATGCCAGGAGGCCTTTGTGCTCACACATGCACGGGACAAGCAGTACTGAGTGTCTTGGCCTGGGCGCCCCCAGAAGCAGGCCCTTGGAAAGGGAACTGAGTGTCAAGTAGGAGCTTATGCGGGAGGTGCTTTTATGAAACTCAGGTAGGGGAGCAGGGAAATGAGGCAAGGAAGGGAAGGAAGATGTGAAACGGTGTGTTAGCGAGCTAGTCACCACTGCCGGCAGCTGGTGCGGGGTCCCCTCGATGAACCCCAGGACAGAGCAAAGAGCATGCCTGGAGTTGTCTCTGAGTGAAAGGCAAGGGGAGGTAGGTTAGTTAATCCACTTTCTCCCCATCCGTCATTGGTTGAGGGCTGCTCCCTGGGCCATTAACTCTTCCACACTGCGGTGTGTCCTGTGATTGGGTTCCTGCTTCCAGAAGAAGAGCCTGTGGGCAGAGCGCTGCAGGGGTGCAATAAAGAACACCTGCCACTGTGATGAGCAGTGGCAGCTTGGAACAGGTGCGTGGTTGTTCTTTTCATGGGTGACTTAAAAGTTTGTCAAAAATCCATTAGGAGACGCTACTCTGCTTATACAACTATGATCTGATCTTTTCTGGGAAATGGGCCTCAGGTGCTATGGATCCAGGTGTGAAAGGTCAGATAAGGAAGAGACAGAGGCTCAGATGCAGGTGAGCTTGGAGACAGCTAGACGGAAATTCTGAGGGCAAGGATGGGGTTTTCATGTGCGTGCACATGGATGTGTGTCATAGGGTGTATGGGTTTAATTCTCTCTGGCTTGCTCGATAGATGCTCTTGAATGACCAGTGGAAGAACTTTCTATTATTGTTCCTGCCCAAGGGAGCAGAGGTGAGTAGCAGCTGCTGAATCCCTTACGTGGCTGCTGTTTATCACTGCCTCCTCCACACAGAGCTGATTGTCCTGCAAGGTCTTCCCCTGTCTCTTGCAGGCATCATGTAGATTCTTGATGTCAACTTGTAGGCTCAAGAGCTTGCTGTTCAGACCGTTCACTTCTCTATCACTCTCTCCCTAGGCAGTTAGAAAAACAAAAGCATCAGTTATAAATCAAGAAAATGCTTACTTTTGCTCACTTAACTGGTTGACAGAGACTTTAAATTTGCTGGAAATTTGTCCATCAACGCTTAGCCGTTATTACTCATTCAGTGTAACATTTACACAGATCCATTTGCAAGGTGTCTGAGTGTTCTGCATTATTCACACAATTACTTATTTACATTAATTAATCTTCACCCACTTCTGTTGGGTACATCACAGACACTTGCCCTGTTTTTCAAGAGGAAGTCAGCACCTAGAATAATTCCAGGCACCTAGTGGACTGTCTATAAATATTAATGGTTCTGCCACTGATGAAATGAACATAAGTGAGATGTCAAATGAACTTGTCAAGATTATAGTGAATCAGTGATGGAGCTGATGTGAATTCTCAAGTCTCTTAACTTCCTCTTCTACCCACTAAACCAAAAGACCTCTCTCAACTGTAAATGTAGTGCTTTTCTTTGGAAACATACACCAATGGGAATAAAAGTAAAATCCCTGGGCTGATTGCATAAAATCCCTGTCTTTGATTATGAGTGAAAAAGATGAGCTAATTAATTACTGCAAGGTCAAAATGGAAATTAGTGACTGAGATCAAAACAGAGAGTGTGGAGCATAGCAACTTGGGTGGCATTGGGGGTGCAGAGCTATGGAAAGAGGGTGGGTGTTCCATCATACTAGGACGCCCCCTTCTACTCCCAGTGCTGTGGCTACACTGTGAAGAGAAGTCAGGGAGAAGCCCCCTGTGAACCTGTCCAGTGCATTCGTTCCATCAGCATGTAGACTTTCTGTGACACTCGGGGGGACAGGCACTACCACCTCCGAATTCTAGATCCCGGGACTGAGCCTGGGGCTTTTCTGGCAGGCGCCTGTCTTCTGTTAGATTACCCAGAGCAGGCTCTTAGGCACAGATTCATGGCATCTATTAAATAAATACTCCCAAGAGGAACCAGCCAGGAAGTGGGGGAAGCAGAACAGGGCAGGGGAAGAAACCAGGCAAGGGCAGGAGTTCAGATGAAGTCCTGCCAGTCAGTTGCTTTAGCGTGACCCCCTCGGGGAACTCTGGGGTGTGAGTTATACCTCGGATCCATCCGGAAGGGATGCAGTGGATGCTGGGCTGTGGGACTCGGCATCAGCCAGTCGACAACTAAGGGCTGGCCCACGGGAAGTGAGCTCCCAAGGCTGTCCAGCTCTGTGTCCTTATGAGAAATGACCCCAGTAGTCCAACGGCCATTCTCCTAAGAGAGTACCAGGTGTGAAAGCACCCAGAAACCATGGGTGCGCAGAAATGGTAAAGTGATCCAAATGACAGTGCCACGGCTCCGCAGCTGGTCAGCCACAGAATGAGGAGAGTTCTGCTCACCCGGCCCTGTAGCCGGGGCTCTGCCACCACATCCCACTGATTGCTCTGGCTTCTTAAATATATGAGCTACATAACATACGCTCCCAGGGGAGCTGGAGACCTGAGATGGACATCGTAAATCACACCTTCCTGGACAGGCCAGTTTAAGGGACCTCTGCACAGGCGAGGAGGCCAAAGGAGAACCATGAGAATTGGACACCGCGATGCCAGAGTATTCGGAATTGAGAAGGCTTCCCAGAAGTGCTGCTGTCTCAGCTGATTTATTTCTTCATTTCCATTTAGTACCTGGATTTTTTTTTTTTTTTTTTACCACTTTACAGTTTAATTAGGTTAACGGCATGGCTCTGTCATTAAAAGGATTTCATTATCTCAAGACTCTCCTTCTTCCTCTCTTGCTCCCATTCCGTGTTCCTCACTTGTAGAAAAATAACAGTAGATGTCAACTGCCCCAAGCATGTAATTACCATTAAGACAATTACCAGGGACTCTCTTAAGAGAATATGTGTAGAGTGGCTTAAAAAATGGTGTACACACACTGTTTCCTAACTAGAAAACAAAATCCTTGATACGATGAGGAAGAGCAGTTGATTCTAATGCTTTAAATTCCTTCTCTCATGGCCGCCATACTGGGGACAGGGGAAGGCAGCTTGTTAGGAAGTGGGCGCTAGGGGTCTCCTCCGCTTCGCCACAGCACTATGTTTCTTTGGCATCTAGGAAGAGATTAAGTGTCGTTACAAAGCCTGCTTTGTGGATGTGCCAAATGACCTATATTCTTGCTTTGATGCACCTTATGGTGAGGACCATGTCACTGGATTGTTCCATATGGGGCCTGGCACACTGAGGACTGTTTAACAAAGAATGAATAATACATAACTTGAGCTTCTCCACGTTAAAAGCTAAAGCCCTCTCCCTCCGGTTTTAGATGTCCTATGAGCAGAAGGCCTGCCTGCCTAATTCCTTTGCACCACCAGGCTAGATAACTGGCTCTTTCCTGTAGATGATCTCGTCTAATTTGGACATTAGCATCGACTGATTCAGAGTCTCTGAGGCAATTTCTTCATTCATAAAACAAGAAGTTTGGAATACATAGTCCTTTCTTTGAGGATTCCCCAAACCAGCAGAACAACAAATGTATTTTGCTAGATGTCTAATGAAATTTGCTTTGAAATCAAAACCTAACCATTCACTCCTAAAGGCCAAATCATACGGTGGTTTCGATTCATCAGAACATGAGTGAAAATGCTTGGAGAGCATAAGGTGATTTCCACGGGCCACATATTATTTTTTACTGCAGGTTAGCTGTAGGCTGTGCTCACCTCAGAACCCCAGAAAGGCAAGTGTTTCTGGTGTTCCAGGGAACCTAATTTCTTGCTATTATCTTGCACAGAGGTCACTGTACGCTATTTCTAATCCTATCTACTATAAAGGCTAAATTCCAGGCAGATGCCTTTTGAGTATCAGGATGCAGTAGGAATTGATTTAATCTGACATTTCATCAGTCAAAGCTCTGTGACCAGTACTGGGGCATCAGACTAGATGACAGTCATAATGCTGACCCTCAGGCACCATCTGATCCTGTCCTGGAGCTGAAGCCATCAATGACAGCTGATACCACAAGCCTCTGCCGCGAGGTGAGTTTTCACTTACATAAGCCCTTAGGTACCCAGATTTGCTTACATGGGGTGGGAACCTGGTCACTCTGCTTGAAGGCACGTGACATCTGGGCAGCTGCCACGGGCAAAATGGTGAGTGCCGATACTGTGGCTGCTGTCATGATGATGACAGCTGTGGGCAGATAGGTTATTTACTGAAGCAAATTTTCGGTATTGATTAAATGGGGCTTTTTCAAAGAGCACACCTTCTCAAATACATAATTCAAAAGATGGGAAGAAATTTTGCTCTAGGCTTCAAAGTATTGATAGTCTCCTGCTTCTTGGGGAAGCTGGTGTTAAACTAAAGCTTGTGTTTCAGTGACACTCCCGGACCCTGAGGGCCTCACGCAGGTTCACGATGGCAGCATTGCCAGGGATTGGGCACTTGAAGGGAAATCGTGGATGTCAGTTTCCAGAGTAATTTTGGAATCAGCCACAAACCATAAAGGTCATCATTTATGGGAAATTCTCTTCTTCATCTGAGGATGAGGACAAATCTTCAACACATAATGGGAAACCACCTTTAACCACCACTGCCATTCAGCATGTATCAGTGTATAGTGAGAGTTATGTTTTAAAAAGCACAAAACCTTAAAAATGGACAATACTTCAGGAATTTTTACATTTTACTTGTGTGATAGCATTTACAGTTATCTACAGCAACTTCAAGCACTTATTGATATTAACTTGATCCTGAGTTTACTTTCCCATCTATAGAGACTTTGGAGTTTTTGATTATTTATGATGGGAATTAATGGACACTTATGCCAGGTTTTGCCTGTGAGCAAATTTTTGGGATGATTATGTTCATATAGTGAAGAATGAGTGTATTTTATTATGTTCCAAATTCCTTAAAAGTTGGCACACTGTGTAAGTCTATAGCTTAGGATACACATGGCAGAGGCCAGTCTCCTGTGGAATGTGGGTCCGTGTTTATTGGCATTTGGGCAGTTGCCACAGACACTTCTCCATCATATCCTTGGATAAATTTTTCACTAGCAAGTAAGCCCCACAAGAGCAGGGATCTTTGTCTGTTTTGTTCATTGCTTTATCTCCGGCCCCTAGAACAATGCCTGGCACATTTGATGGTGCCCCAAAGATATCAGGAGAATGAAGGAATGCCCTTCTAGAAGATCCATACCAGATCCTTGCTCCTGTATGGCTCTCTCCAGTAACCCAGCAGGAAAGGAGCTGAAACACCTCCTTCAGAAGCTGCTCACTTCTTGGTAGGAAGTCTGTTAAAAAGCATATGTCATATGGGACAACCCTATGCTAACCAAAAAGCCTCCCCTAAGTCCTTTCTGGAATAAGGGAGTAGATACACAGAGTTTGACCCAAAATATTAGACTAATCAGAACACTCCATTTCCATATCGTTCCAGATGAAGAGAGAATGTTAGCAACAACAGTTAATATTAAGTGCTTCCTGTGTCTCAAGTGCTTTACATGTAGTATCTTACTTAATCTTCACAGCAAGCCTTTGAAATAGGTGCTCATTATTCATATTTCCTAGGTAAGAGAAAGGAAGCTCACAGAGCGTAGCTAACATGCCCAATATTATACTGTTATTAGATACAGACCCAGAGCCACCTAACTCCAGGCTGGGCTCTGAAATGCTGTGCTCGGCTGCCCACCTCTGCCTGCGATATTTTGGGATGCTTATTACTGGAGTTTTGAATCATGAAAATTGAAAAGAAGTCCCTTGTAACAAAAGTTCAACTCCATGTACATAGAGAAGTTGGGAGCCTTACCTCATCTTCCATTTCCTTGGCACCCCTCAGTTCTCCTTTAGGCTTTAGCATTTTCTGAGCTTTGTTATAAACCTGAAAAAGTCCAAGAATTTAAAATGGAAAAAATGTAAACGAGTCTGGCCCATCAGAGCTTTTCCCATCTGGATATGTACTCTCAGCAGGGAGTCAGAAAAATTTCCTGAACTGTTAGCGATACCAACCCGCCTACCCATCTGTTTGTGTTTTCAAAGGTGTGTTAAAACCTTCACCAGGAATACGACTATGGTTTTACATCTTTTCCAAAACACTGCCACTTGGCAGGCTAAATAGTTTCTGAATTCACCCTTCTCAGAAAGCAAAAGGTTGGAAACGATCTTACTTTCTAGATTTATAAGTATTCTATGACTCAAATATAGTCAGCATTTTGCTCTAATTATGAACCAGATAGGATGTGTACAACCCAACTTCATTCTCATGAATAACCCTGGGAGGAAGATACCATTACTATCTCAATTTTACAAGGGAGGAAACTGAAACCCAGAGAGACTAAGTGACTTACCCAAGGTCGTACAGGCTCTCTCATAACTCCACGAGGAGCTTCCACTAATTTATAATTATTAATTTGGAAATATCTGATGATGTGGCTTTTTTGAAGCATCAAGTTACTATAATGTTGATGCTTGTAAAGTTAGGAAACTTGTAAAGTGCTGAGAATTATCTAGATAAAAAGCCTCAAGGAAAACCAAAGATTTTTACGTATGTATGTGTGTCTGTGTATTTACCCAGTAGATCATAATGCACTGAACTTATTAAAATACTCTAATTCATTATGTTTTTACCTCTAAGGCTAAAGGAATTTTCACCAGGCACTTACCTGCAGAATAGTTCTAAGAATGAGAAGCTTTCAGAACACTAATTCTTTGTAATAAACCACATCCCCCACCCCTAATACAAGCCAAGGGGAAGAAAGAATGCTGGTGACACATGGAATCTGGAATGTCTTATGGGGTTGTCTTCTGCATTGTTTACCCTCTGAAGTCTTCATGTGCAGAGATGAATCATGGGAGCGGTGATGTAGCTCAGGTTTCCCCAGCAGGGAGAGGCCAGGTGATGCCGTAACAGGCAACTCCCAGATCCCCGTGGCCTAAAGCCATGAAAGTTTATTTTTAACTTGCACTATATGTCCTTTGAATCAGCTGGGGCTCTGTTCTTCATTGTCCTCAGCTGGTAGAACCTCTGTCATCTACTATGTTGCCTGTTGCCATGGCAGCAGAAAGGGAACTTGGTGAATCACATACAGGTTCTTAAACTGGAGGTAACATACTTCAATTCTGCTCACATTTCATTGGCCAGAACAAGTCACATGGCCATGCCTGACTTCCTTCTTGTGAATGCCACAGATAACTTCCATGCTAGGTGTCTTAGCAGGTTGAGCTGCTATAACAAAGTATCACAGATTGGGTAGCTTATGAACAACAGATGTTTCTGGCATTTGTAGAGGCTGAGAAGTCCATATCAAGGCGCTGGCACATTAGGTGTTTGGTGAGGACCCGCTTCAGAGATGGCTGTTTTTTTGTTGTACTATCACATGGCAGAAGGGGCAAGGGAGAGCACTGGCATCTCTTTCATAGGGGCACTAATTGCATTCATCAGGGGTCCACCCTCATGAACTAATCACTCCCAGAGACCCCCTTCCTAATATCATCACCTTGGGGGTTAGGATTTCAACACATGAATTTTGGGGGACACACACATTTCATCTACAGCACTAGGCAAACGAGAAGATTAAAAACAGTGTGGCATAAAGGAACACTGAACAGGACTGTATACCACCAAGCCTCTAAACCTGGCTCAGCACCTAAATCAAGGGGTGGTGTTTGGAAAGGCTCTCATCTTTTTGAACCTTCGTTTCTGCCTCTATAAACCCAGGGATTGTACTGAATGACAGCTCTCTTTCCTCGCTCTGTGGTTTACTGACCCAAAGTTCTACCCTGATGGACGTCTTTCTTTAGTAGGAACCAAGCATCACATAAAAGTTGAGATAGAATGAATATATCCTTGAGAATAATATTCTTTTATAGGCAGACCTAGTGGATAGTCAGGAGATGGTTCTTAAATCAAATGAAAACTTGTTCCAAAACTCAGAAAAATGATTGTCTAGATTGTGATGGTTTCATTTACTACGGAGTTTCATAGCTATAGTTGCGAGGGCCAAGAGCACTTGGAAGGACAAGCGGAAGGCACAGGCCCTCACACTGGCATGAAAATGTATTGCGCTTCACTAAGTCAGTCAGTGGAGAAAGAGAGCTGAACTGTGTTCCATGGAGACACGGGAATCCTGTGAGTCATTAACAACAGCAGCGGACAATTTGGAAGTGCTTACGATGAAAAAATGGAAGGGTTATATGATAAATTTTCAATGCATTTGACAGTAATGCTTGCCAGGTGGATAAGGAAGAGTACTTTGAGGGATCCTCAAGTGCTTTATAAAATGAGCATGTGAACCTTCACACAGCTTTCGGAGGAGTGTGGCTGGACCAGTATTTTGTAGAGGAGAGAGCTCATCGCAGATGGAGGGGTGCCCTACCTGATCCGTGGATGCGGATGTCCAGACCCAGACTCGAATGCCTGCTTTCAGACCCTCTGTGATGCTGTCTCCTGCATCTCTTTGGCGACCTTCACTGCCTCATGACTCATCTCCAGGGAGCTGCTTTTATGCCTCCCCTGGGTGACAGCTGTGACCAAAAAAAAAAAAAAACTCAAACCAAAAGCAATTGTAGTGCAAATGAAAACTTGGTCAGAGCATCTAGTGATGTTTCATGCCTCCTGAGCTGGCATCGGCCCATGCTCAGAGCGCTTCACAGATTCCCCCGCGACCCCCAGCACAGTGCTCCACACGGGTGCCTAGTGTAGCAGCTATGAACTCAGGTGTGCTAAGAAAAGATAACTATTTGCCTATTACTCAACCTTGTTATTGAGCCCCATTTCTACCCCATGGCAGAAAAGAGAATCTTACTTATTTTTGAGAAAACTCCATCTTTTTCAGGTTAAATATTAATCAGTTGGTGACTCCCTCCTCATTGTTTGGGTCTCTCCAGCATGTGCCTTCATTCTGGGATCCACGTAGGTTGGATCCTGGTGTCAGGCATGGCTTCTGGGCCATGATCACGGGTGTCTCTTCCAGCTGGACTGTGCTGAGATGTCTGTGTCCCGGTCACCATGCCACACACACCGCCTCTTCCTCACCCTGTGGGGTGCTGGCCTTTGGTCCTGTTCCAAATGCAGAGAGTGACACGCACACATGTGAGATTGGTCTCAGGTCCTCGTGTTGGGCCCGCCTCCCCTCAGTTCACATTTTCCCTAGAAAGGTGTTGAGAAGAGCTGATAGTTTCCTAAGATCTTGCTCACTTTCTGCCCCTCATTCCTGGTATTGATCAAAACTCCCTTGTGCACCTGGATTCCTGAGTCTATCTGGGGTTCTACTGTTCTTCCCACTATACCCCATCTCATTGTTTTGACCAGGGTCTAATTCCCTTGCTCATGCTCAAATTCTCCTTTCTTCTTCTTACCAAACTCTGAAAGCCTTTGTTTAGTTTTGGGGAGAGAAAGGGAAAAGGGTACAAGTGAACAATTCAATGAATACAGGTTGAGTGGGCAGGATGGGAAGCCAGGTTAGTACTTCATACACCATCTACCTAAATCTATACCATCTATGCAAATGCCATAATCACAGATCGCAGACCCTGTCCCTGACCCCAGGGAATTGGCAACTGCCTGGGTATATGGGTGGACTACTGGCTTTAGAGCAATAAACTTCCAGTTACAAGGCAAATAGTACTGGGGATGTAATGTGCAACACGATGTCTATAGTTAATACTGCTGTTTGTTATATTTGAAAGTTAAGAGAGTAAATCCTAGGAATTCTCATCAAAAGGGAAAAATCTTTTTTTTTTTTTGGCATCTATATGAGATGGTGGATGTTAACTAGACTTACTGTGTAGTCATTTCACAATATATGTAAGTCAGGTCACCATGGTGTACACCTTAAACTTATTCAGTGCTGTATGTCAATGATATCTCAATAACACTAGAAAAAATTTGAAAAAAAAGTTAAAGCTACCCTTGGGGGTTAATCAAAACCAACAGATTTACATACAGTCAGCTGTAAGTACTTCTTTTACTTTTGCTGGGTTTTAGATTTTTCTCCAATGTCCCAATTCCTCTCGATGAAAAAGTATGATGAATCCCAGCGCTCTTCACTATTGAAACGAGGAGAGGATATTCAATGATTCCTCTATTTTAAAAAATATGTGAGCACTATGAATTGATGGGGATGCTCCGTGTACAATAAATTATTTCCACCCAGAATGTGTGGATGGAGCCATAGGATGCAGAGGCCCAGCATGAACATAGTCTACCTCACTGGACCCAAACCCAGTCCTGAAAGAGAAAATCCTGGTCATGTAGAGCACATCTGGTCATGAGAGGTTAAGGAGATGATGTTAGAGATGGTTTTAGGAGGGTTTGGGGCTCTGCTCTGTAAGCTGGTGGATAGACACTTGTCCCCAAGCTCACAGACTGGGTCATAATTCCACCCCAGGAATAAGGCTCTTCTGGAAAGGAAGCATGGCTAGTTGAGTCTTCCCAGGAGACTGGAATGGCAGAAGCAATGAGGGTCCAGGAGGAACAAAACAAGGGGTCCAAGGATTCATCAGATTCACTGCTGCAGGTGAAAATCTCTCCTCATGCCTATCTCCTTTGGTACTTTTTCACAGAGGCTGTCAGTTGCCTATTCCAATATCCATATTTCTTATCTTCCTTAGTAATAGAACCGTGATTTTAGTGCAGTGTCCATGTACTCATCTAAAAGACTACTTATCCCAGCCTCTCTTAAGCTAGGCATGGCTACATGTCTAAGTTTTAGCCAGTGAGATTCCTCCTTCCTGATTGTTTGGAACACTGATTTAATGGCTGGTACTCCAGCAACCATTTGGAACATGAGGAGAAGCTCACAGAAGCAGAAAGTGCCTAAGTCCCTGGACAGAGAGAGCAATTTCTATCTTAAGTCACTGTTAATGTTAAGTCACTTCTGTTTAATGCAGCTGAATCTAAAGCAAATGGACACAGTGCCCTTATTTATGTTATTTATGTTCTTCTTAAAAGACCTCTCTGCAGCTCACTTCCTATTTTTAACACCTCCACTAGTTGCTTCTACTAATAATTTTGGAACTCCTTTTTCTTGTGGACTACTGCTTTGACTCCACAGATATTTTTCTCAAATGCCCCTTCCCTTCCTTGACACTTGACTTGGTTTTCTTTTGACCTATCAGCTCTTTGCTTTCCCTTTCTCCACTTGACGCGTATGGTGTAAGGGGATCTAGGGTGAGGAAGACAGTGGCAAACTCAGTCCTGCTGCTGCCCCCATCACTGTTCCTGTGCTATTGAGTGAAGTTTCCTCTTTTGAGGTACACAGTTCACCTAACTTTGGTTGCTATATGATTGACAGACATGGCAAAAACTCTCCACTTGATGCTCAATATCTTTGTTTTGGAATGAGCTGTCTTCTTTCTGACTGTCCAAGAA